AACAAATCCGACAAGAACTGAACGAGATCTTAGGTGACATAACAGAACTCAGCACTGAAACCGCACTACTCCACTACACGGACCAATCCGTTGCACAATACAAGAGATCCATTATGAGACATCTACTCAATGCGGCTAAAGCCCTAATCCCAACGATGTCGAAAAGCACACAACCACCCTCGATTGTGCAATGTCATCAGAAAGTTGAAGAAATCCACACAGCAGAGGCAAAGAATGCAGACTTACAGGGACGAAGCACTAAACACACAGAACTATGGAGGCCATGGTACATGTACCTAACACACTCACGAGCACAAGGAGGGAGGAGACGCGACAAGAGAAAATGAGGCACACACGAACAATGCATAACCTAAACACCGCAACCTCCCTCAGCCCCCCCCCACCACCACCCCTCTCTACCTCAGGGCTCCTGCGGGATAGACCAGTGCCCACATAACCTATCCTGGCCCCCCTGGGGGGTAAGATTGTGAAAACACCAAATAAGACTCTATTCACCCAGGGACCGGCAACACAGGAGAAGGGAAGAGAAGGTAACACACCAGTGGGAAAATGACACACACCCCTTAACCCCAGTTGCACTACATCACGATAACAGTAGCAAAACACTAAGAAGTCAACCAAATAGATGGAAATATTGCACTAGAAACAACCCCCAACCACACACACAAACAGGAAAAAGTCAAACCACACACTAAACCACACACAAAACGCCCTGAACTTTGATAAAGAAGATAAGACCTATACTGAAGCCACAGGGACCAAAAGAGGGAAGCCACAGGGACCAACCCCACCCTTACCCCGGAAAACATACAGCCCTACGACTCGAGAAAATTAACTGCACCAACAACCATTGAGACTGTGATGATATCAAAACCTAAGCATACAACCCTAGGCTAACAGAGGAGCAAATAGCAACACAACATCTGCACACTGTTAACCCGAAAGGTAAACTACTAAAGACAACCATCCTGAAATCGGTAATGATGACTTACAAACTGGCTTTTGAAGGCCGTAAACAAGATACATACCTTGCTAAGAGACCTGCGAGTCTCCCTATTAAAGCTTCCGCAGAGATCTGCGTATCTCAAAATATCGTATGCTCCTACAAACATCAGAAACCTGCGTGTTTCACACTGTTTACCGACTAAATGCTTTTTACAATATGGAAAACACCTTAATAAAAAGATTTACTAATTGCCACATCCAAATTGGAGGTAGGGTTTATGAATTACAGCTATTTGATATGTAGCTCTCTCTTTTTCAAGGGGACCAAAAGTAATTGGAAAATTGACTCAAAAACAGTTTCATGGTCAGATGTGAGCTAATCCTTAGTTATTTCTTCATCAATCAAGCAGGTAAAATGTCTCGAGTTGATTCCAAGTGTGGTATTCACACTTGGAAGCTGTTGCTGTTAA